GTTTTAGGGTAGAAAATGGGGTTGGGGATTGAAAAGTGGGATTTTGGTGTGAAAAACGGAGGATTTGGGATGGAAAAAGTGGGGTTTTAGGATAGAAAATGGGGTTTGGGTATTGAAGAGGATTTTTGGGGTGAAAAATTGGGGTTTTAGGGTAGAAAATGGGGTTGGGGGATTGAAAAAGGGGATTTTGGGGTGAAAAACGGAGGATTTGGGATGGAAAAAGCGGGGTTTTAGTTAGAAAATGGGGATTGGAGAGGATTTTGGGGGTGAAAAAGCGGGGTTTTAGGGTAGAAAATGGGTTGGGTATTGAAGAGGATTTTGGGGTGAAAAAGTGGGGTTTTAGGGTACAAAACGCTGCTTTGGGGCAGGAAAACTGTATTTAGAGAGGGGGAAATATCTATTTTGGGGTGAAAAAGGGGGAATTTGGGATGGAAAAAGTGGGGTTTTAGGTAGAAAATGGGGATTGAAGAGGATTTTTGTGGTGCAAAACCGGGGTTTTAGGGTAGAAAATGGGGTTGGGGATTGAAAGAGGGGATTTTGGGGTGAAAAAGCGGGGTTTTAGGGTACAAAATGCTGCTTTGGGGCAGGAAAACTGTATTTAGAGAGGGGGAAATATCTATTTTGGGGTGAAAAAGGGGGAATTTGGGATGGAAAAAGCGGGGTTTTAGGGTAGAAAATGGGTTGGGGATTGAAAGGGGATTTTGGGGTGAAAAAGGGGGGATTTGGGATGGAAAAAGCGGGGTTTTGGGTAGAAAATGGGGATTGAAGAGGATTTTTGGGGTGCAAAAGCGGGGTTTTAGGGTACAAATTGCTGCTTTGGGGCAGGAAAACCGGCTTTAGAGAGGGGGAAATGCCTATTTTGGGGTGAAAAAGGGGGGATTTGGGATGGAAAAAGCGGGATTTTGGGGTAGAAAATGGGGGGTTGGGTATTGAAGAGGATTTTGGGGTGAAAAAGTGGGGTTTTAGGGTAGAAAATGCTGCTTTGGGGCAGGAAAACTGGATTTAGAGAGGGGGAAATGTCTATTTTGGGGTGAAAAAGGGGGGATTTGGGATGGAGAAAGCGGGGTTTTAGGTAGAAAATGGGGATTGAAGAGGATTTTTGGGGTGAAAAAGCGGGATTTTAAGTAGAAAATGGGGATTGAAGAGGATTTTGGGGTGCAAAAGCGGGGTTTTAGGGTACAAAATGCTGCTTTGGGGCAGGAAACCCGGCTTTAGAGAGGGGGAAATGTCTATTTTGGGGTGAAAAAGGGGGGATTTGGGATGGAAAAAGCGGGATTTTGGGGTAGAAAATGGGGGGTTGGGTATTGAAGAGGATTTTGGGGTGAAAAAGCGGGGTTTTAGGTAGAAAATGGGTATTGAAGAGGATTTTGGGGTGAAAAAGCGGGGTTTTAAGTAGAAAATGGGGATTGAAGAGGATTTTGGGGTGCAAAAGCGGGGTTTTAGGGTACAAAACGCTGCTTTGGGGCAGGAAACCCGGCTTTAGAGAGGGGGAAATGCCTATTTTGGGGTGAAAAAGGGGGAATTTCCTTAACCCCCCCCTCCAAAGCTGCTCTCGTGCTGCCTCAACGCCGCCTGCATGGGGCTGCTGGACGCGGGGCTGCCCTTGGCCTCCCTGTTCTGCGGCGTCGCCTGCGCCCTGCTCCCCGATGGCTCCCTCGTGCTGGACCCCAGCAGCCAGCAGGAGAAGGTGGGTGCTCCCCACCCCCACCCAAGCCCATTGGACCCCCTCCCCCACCCCATAACCCTCTTAACCCCCCCCCCCCAACCACCACCATTTCCATCGCAGGAAGCTCGCGCCGTCCTCACCTTCGCCATCGACAGCGCCGAGAAGAAGGTGCTCATGGCCAGCACCAAAGGGAGCTGCTCCATGGAGGAGGTGAGCGTTATGGGGTGCTATGGGTGCTATGGGTGGCGTAGCACCCATCGCAACACCCCCTTTGTCTCCCCACACACACCTTTTAGATGCAGCAGTGCATCGCTGCAGCCCAGAGCGCCGCCGACACCATCTTCCAGTTCTATCGCGACTCCATCCGGAGGAGGTATTCCAAGTCGTGACATGGAATTGCCCCCCCAACCCACCCCCTGCCATAGGGGCAGCTGGACTGACCCCCCTGGGGCTTGTGACCCCTTCACATGTAGTAAAGGAACCCTCCCCCCCGCCCCACATCGTGGGTTTGAGTGCATCCGTTGATGTGGAGGGGGTCTGGGGGTCGTGGTGGGGCATCCAAGATGGCGGCGCCCATGGGCTGTACACTGCGTAGCCTCTGGGGCAGCCAAGATGGCGGCGCCCATGTGCCCTATGCAAAGATGGCGGCCCCCAGGTGCGTTACGCTGCTTAGATACCGGTGCATCCAAGATGGCGGCGCCCATGTGCCGTACGCAAAGATGGCGGCACTCAAGTTCCCTACACTGCGTCGCTTCTGGGGCATCAAAGATGGCGGCGCCCAAGAAGCTGTACGTTACTATTGGTGGTACATCCAAGATGGCGGCGCCCATGTGCTGTACGCAAAGATGGCGGCGCCCAAGAAGCTGTACGTTACTATTGGTGGTACATCCAAGATGGCGGCGCCCATGTGCCGTACGCAAAGATGGCGGCGCCCCAGTGCTGTGCAATGTTTAAGGTATTGGTGGGACATCCAAGATGGCGGCCCTCATGTGCCGTACACAAAGATGGCAGCGCCCAAGATGCCGTACAGCACTGCTTTGCTGTCGGTGCTTCCAATATGGCGGCGCCCTTGTGCCGTACAGCAGTGCTTAGGTGCTGGTGTATCCAAGATGGCGGCGCCCCTGTGCCGTACAGCACTGCTTAGGTGCTGGTGCATCCAAGATGGCGGCGCCCATGTGCCGTACACATAAATGGCGGCGCCCAAGAAGCATTCAGCATATTAGTGGTGCATCCAAGATGGCGGCGCCCATGTGCCGTACAGCACTGCTTAGGTGCTGGTGTATCCAAGATGGCGGCCTCCATGGTGGCATGCGGCCCTCCCTAGATGCCGGTCCTCCTGATATGGCGGCCCCCAAGTGCCGTACGCCAAGATGGCGGCGCCCATGTGCCGTACAGCACTGCTTAGGTGCTGCTGCATCCAAGATGGCGGCGCCCATGTGCCGTACACATAAATGGCGGCGCCCACGAAGCAGTTCAACATATTAGTGGTGCCTCCAAGATGGCGTCGCCCATGTGCCGTACACATAAATGGCGGCGCCCAAGAAGCATTCGGCATATTAGTGGTGCACCCAAGATGGCGGCGCCCATGTGCCGTACACATAAATGGCAGCGCCCAAGAAGCATTCGGCATATTAGTGGTGCATCCAAGATGGCGGCGCCCATGTGCCGTACAGCACTGCTTAGGTGCTGGTGTATCCAAGATGGCGGCCTCCACGGTCGCATGCGGCCCTCTCTAGATGCCGGTCCTCCTGATACGGCGGCCCCCATGTGCCGTACGCCAAGATGGCGGCGCCCAAGGTGCCGTACAGGTGCTGGTCCACCCAAGATGGCGGCGCCCATCTTGCCGCTCCGGCGCATGACGTCATCTGAAGGAGCCGTCACCCTTCCTGGGCGGAGCTTGCTGTGGCGCCAGCCAATGGGGTGGCGGCGTTAGCACGGCGAGCGCGTTGCCACGGCAACGCGCACCGGAAGTGCGTGTGCGCAGAGGCAGGTCGTGGTCCGCAGCGCCGGGCACTGGAGGTGGGGGCAATGGGGCAGCAATGGGGGGCAATGGGGCAGCAATGGGGCTGCAATGGGGCAGCAATGGGGCAGCAATGGGGCAGCAATGGGGGGCCATGGGGCGGCAATGGGGGGCAATGGGGCCGCAATGGGGCTGCTATGGGTGCCCATGGGGCGGCAAGGGGGGTAATGGGGCGGCAATGGGGCTGCAATGGGTGCCCATGGGGCGGCAATGGGGGGCAATGGGGCAACAATGGGGCAACAATGAGTGCCCATGGGGCGGCAATGGGGCTGCAATGTGTGCCCATGGGGCTGCAATGGGGCAGCAATGGGTGCCCATGGGGCGGCAATGGGGGGCAATGGGGCAGCAATGGGGGGCAATGGGGCTGCAATGGGTGCCCATGGGGTGGCAATGGGGCGGCAATGGGGGGCAATGGGGCGGCAATGGGGCTGCAATGGGGCTGCAATAGGTACCCATGGGGCGGCAATGGGGCTGCAATAGGTGCTCATGGGGCGGCAATGGGGGGCAATGGGGCCGCAATGGGGCTGCAATGGGTGCCCATGGGGCGGCAATGGGGGGCAATGGGGCAGCAATGGGGTGCAATGGGGCTGCAATGGGGCAGCAATGGGTGCCCATGGAGCGGCAATGGGGGACAATGGGGAGCAATGGGTGCCCATGGAGCGGAAATGGGGGGCAATGGGGGGCAATGGGGGCCAATGGGGCAGCAATGGGGCTGCAATGGGTGCCCATGGGGCGGCAATGGGGTAGCAATGGGGGCCAATGGGGCAGCAATGGGGCTGCAATAGGTGCTCATGGGGCGGCAATGGGGGGCAATGGGGCCGCAATGGGGCTGGGGCGGCAATGGGGGGCAATGGGGGGCAATGGAGGTAATGGGGCTGCATGGGAGGGGGCTGGGGGGCACAATGGGGCAGCAATGGGGGGCAATGGGGCAGCAATGGGGAGAATGGGGGGCAATGGGGCAGCAATGGGGGCCAATGGGGCAGCAATGGGGCTGCAATGGGTGCCCATGGAGGGGAAATGGGGGGCAATGGCGCAGCAATGGGGCTGCAATGGGGCAGCAATGGGTGCCCATGGGGCGGCAATGGGGGGCAATGGGGCGGCAATGGAGTGCAATGGGGTAGCAATGGGGGGCAATGGGGCAGCAATGGGGTTGCAATGGGAGCCCATGGGGCGGCAATGGGGGGCAATGGGGCAGCAATGGGGGAAATGGGGACAATGGGGTGACAATGGGGCTGCGTTGGGATTGCAATGGGGGGTAATCGGGGACAATGGGGGGGCAATGGGGCAACAATTGGGGGCAATGTGGTGCAATGGGGCTGCATTGGGTTTGCAATAGGGGGCAATGGGGGTGCAATGGGGAGAATGGGGGGCAATGGGGCTGCCTTGGGGGGCAATGGAGGTAAATGAGGCTCCAATGGGGGTGAATGGGATGAAATGGGGTGGCAATTGGGGGCAATGGGGCTGCAGTGGGGTTGCAATGGGGTGCAATGGGGGTGCAGTGGGGGGGGCACTGAGCGTCTCCTCCCCCATTGCCCCCCACAGCCCCCCCCATGGCGGAGCTGCACCTCCTGGGGCAGATTGTGGGGGGCAGCGGCTTCCCCCAGCGCCGCCTCTTCTGCAAGTGGGGACTGC